AATGCAGTATGTCAAAAGCATGCATGCAATGTTTGGCTGGGTTTCTTGTTACGTATTTGCTGGATTGATTTCTGATATATTATCTATTAATAATAATTTATCATAAACAAATTTAATGGTTGAGGCACTATCACATTACTTATCATTCTAAGTTTATTTCTGTTGCAACTTATTGACTTCACTGCAAACCATATTAATAAATATAAATTAATTGGCATAAAAGAAAATTTAACGCGTGAAAACAAGGACATTTTTTTTTAACAAGTGAGATCGCACCATTTTCAATTGAATAATGAAGGCGTAATTCCAAAGACTATGAGCAAATTTCTTATATAGTATTGATGTATGCCTCAGCTGAATTGAACTTTTAAAATAGTTCTCTTAACCAATAAAAAGATAAACGAAAGATATTAAAAAACTATTATTCTTTCTAATATTTTACAAATATATTTTAACATAACATATCAAATGTATAAAAATTTCAGAATCAAGTAAGTAAATGCGTCGCATTTTATAAACGATGAAAATGGTTAGTATTTTTATCCAAATTTAGTCATAATCTTCGCGATGCTTTAGTATAAAAATACTTAACATTATTAATTTTATTATAAAATATCATTTTTTATAAATACTTATTTTGTCAGCAAGATATGAATATAGAACTTTTCTGCAGAAGTTAACTAGCTAAAATACTCAAAAAGATCCGGTCAACAAAAAAATAAATTTAGAGATACTGTTGATTCTTAATAAATGTTACAATGTTCATTATCATTCATGGAAAGTTGCCTTCCGGCTCTTTAACACTCGATCCACTATTGTGCTGGTGTTTTTTGATATTTTTAAAATATTAGATATTTATGGTACAGTACATAAATATAATATACTGAACATCATTGTCAAAACAGGCAGTTTATTTAAAGTACGTAATAAAGTTCAAATTTACATATTGCTTACATTTAATGATAATCGTAGAATTGATTTAAATTCAATATGTATGGTATTGATTATTTGAAACCAAAAGTTGGTGATACTTCAATGACTAAATCTTCATTACGATAACGAATCGGCCAATAAAAATTTACTATGTGCATAATTATTTTGTTACACTACGTTTTAAAAAAAAAAAATCTTAAGACCATATATAAGACCCATTAATTTTTTTAAAAATTGTAAAAAATTAATTCTTGGAGGTATTGTCAAAATTTTATTCAAAAATGTTAGATACAAAGAATCCATATATTGTGAAACTAATGAAATGGTTTTTTACAATCAAACTAATGGAAGTAAAGTATAATGCAACATATATAAAGAAAACTAAAATTCGTTTATAAAAACTGAGAATGAAAGATTTTTATCGTTTCTTTAGAATGAATTTACTACCGTTCTATTAGAGCTTTATGATAAATTAACTTGAGTCAAGTTTAGATATAACTCGAATTGAGTCAAGGTAAAAATTTTAATACTTCAACTCGACTCGACTGAGGAATATGTTATTGCAACTAACAAATAACAAAATCTTTTAAACACCATTTTTGTAGAAAAAAAAGCCCGCAATACATGCATGATTTTAAAAAACAAATTTTATTTTATTTAATTTGGCTGGTTAATAAATACATATTAAATAAGTTTCGTATAAGGTTTTTTTTTTTTTTTTTTTTTTTTGTTAATGTTTTAAACTTAATTTTTATTAATTTTTGGTTTGTTATAAATTTTAATTTTAAATTTTCATCAGACGTCATGATAGGTACGTATATTAAAAAATTATTAAATACGTAAAATCTTTGAAGTTAGACTTAATCTAATCTTCTCGAAGAATTTCATCTACGTCGAGTTTATGCATAAAGTTTGGATTTTTCTAAATTAAAAAAATAAATAAATAAACTAAAAATAAATTTTTACCTTACGATCCCGTTTAGTATTTTTCCACTTAACCTCACACTGGGCTTCAGTAATATTGTACTGATCGTTCTTAAGCCAAATGGAGACCCTTTCCCAGAGCAGTTTTCTAACTTTTTTAGCTGTCTTACCACGTTTTGCTAATAATTGAACATCTTTTTTATTTACTTTTAGGCATGATAGAAAGGATTTAGTGGCACCTTTATTCCATAGTTTTGTTTCTTTACAACTCTCGTCAAGTTGAGAACTTTCAGGTGTGGTAGTTGTCTCCGTGATTAAACCTTGAAAGAGAAAATGACAAAATTTAACGTTTAATTTTTTATTAACATTGGATTTAGTTCCAAATAGTTGAACATTCATTATTATCAGGTATAATAAGCAAGTTTGAAATTAAATGAAAGGTTCATGATAAGTTTAAAACATATTTATTTACCTTGATTATCTGGAGAATGAACCTGATAATAAGAAATGTTGGTATTTGGCGCAGTGGTATCAGAAGAACCAGAAGCTTGAACGAGCAATAATGGTTGGAAATTGTCGGCTGGTTATTTGCTGCTAATAGTATAAATCATTAAATAGTTTAAAGCAAAGTAAAAAATTAATAAAATTAATGCAAAGTTTAAAAAAATATTTATTACCTGAGCTGATAGAGGATCCAGAAACTTCCGAGATAAATGAGGAATTCGAAGAAAATTCCATCGCTAGTTTTGTATTATTAGTCTAAAGCAAAATAAAAAAATTGAATGCAAAGTTTAAAAAATTATCTTAATACCTGGATTTGGAGAGAAAAATTGAAAATCCGACAAATCCGACGCGTCGATAGAGGATCTAGAATCTTCCGAGATAAATGAGGAATTCGAAAATGGGAATAAATTAGAAATTGTTGGCAGGTCATTTAATAATTCCATCGCTAATTTAAAAAAATTTTAATTAGTTAAAGCAAAATGAATGCAAAGAATAATATTATTATTACCTTGAATTGGAGAGGAAAACTGAAAAGCCGATGCGTTGGTAGAGGATACTTCCGGGAAAAATGAGGAATTCGAAAATGGGAACGAAGAAAATTCCATTTCTAGATTTATATTATTAGTCTAAATCAAAATAAAAAAAATTGAATGCAAAGTTTAAAAAAATATTAATTACCTTGATTTGGAAAGGAATTCTGAAAAGTCGACGCGTTGGTAGAGGATCCAGAAATTTCCGAGGAATTCGAAAATGGGAACGAAGAAAATTCCATCGCTAATTTATAAATTATTAGTCTAAAGCAAAATAAAAAAAATTGAATGTAAAAAATATTTATTACCTTGATTTGGAGAGAATGGTACAGTGGTATCAAAGGAACCATAAGCTTTCGGAGAATTAAATAATGGCATTAAAGGAGAATCATTGGAAGTTGAAGGTTGATATATTAATCCCGCATCTATTATTAGTTGAAGCAAAGTGAAAATAATTAATTAAGCTTAAAAAATATTTTAATTATATAAATCAACATTCCGTTAGTTACCATCTTGTTGAAAATCAGAAGCACTTATGTCTTGTTTTGAACTCGTTTCAAACGAATTTGTGTACATTTTGTTATATAATATAAATGATTAAAACAAAAGAAAATATGGTCTAAAAGAATTTTCTAAAAAAAAAAATTAACCTTATTTTAAACATAATTCTAGAATTGAATTGAAATTAATCCAATCTAATTACATAATTTGAATTGGATTACGATCCATTCTATATTTAATCATTTAATATTGTGTAATATTTTTTAGGTTATTGGTATTTTTATTAAAGCGAATAAAGAACCTGCTCCGTCTTTTTGTTTGTTTACTCAAAGCCGATCAATCCGATCTTTATTAATTTTACACGAATCCGATCCAATACCTTCTAGGGTATGTGATTTTCCATATTTAATTGGCAGGAGTTAACATTAATGCGGTAAATTAGGGTTAATCTACGATTGATTTCAGTCATGACACAATGCACGTTGTTTGTTTAAAAATTTTTTGCAAACATAATTTTTTATTAAAAATCTAATACTATGGTTAAAAAAAAAACTACTCAGAGAACAGCCAATATATTTATTCATTTGTAATCTTTGATTGTAAGACTGGGATAATCCTTCAATGAATCAGAAAGATAATTAATACAACTTATACAATGCAAGCCTAAAATGCGTTTCGAAATTGTAGCGATGTTTCAAATAATAAATGATAGCTAGTATTGCCTTTGTACATTAACACTGTTATTAAAACACGTATTAAATCAAAAGCTGATCATTATTGTTGCAATTGGCTTTGATTTTTTTGATTTGTTTTAAATCTTACAAGTTATTTATACCACTGGTTCTAATTTTCAATAATTCAACCCAATTCTAAGCAATCTAGAAAATATTTTCAAGATTTATACACACCCAATGCAAAAAAAAAAATAGGTTATTTCTTACAAATTTATACTTATTACAGGACTTACAATTTAATTTAATTTACCATATCGCTTGCAAGAAATGGCCTTTGTACAGTAACAACAAAGGAATCAAAGAAACCTTGAATTAAATAAAAATAATCTAGAATATTACAGATTTTCTGAACCAAAAGGTTGTGTGTACAAAAATTAATAATTTAACGAAATTTAATATACTTATTCACGTGACCGAAATTTTCTTATTTTTTGAAACTTAACTATAACTAATTTATAAAAAAGGCGTATTCATTTTTGTAAAACTTAAATTCTTAAATTGAAAACATAATGTGCAGAAATGTTAAAATCCTTAAATCAATCATAAACTTTTTTTTTTATCTTAAACTCTAAACGTGCATAAATTTATAATTATTCTTAGGAAATTTTTTTATTTGACGTCAACATTCATTACTCCGAATTAAAGATAGGTAAATTAAATTAGAATAGTTCTTATTATAATTCAAATTATATACAGTATGTAAATCGTTAGAACTAACCTTAGAATTTCTTCAACGTCTAACTTATACTTATAGTCTGGCTTATTCTAAATAAAAAAATCCAATCAGTAAAGAATAAATAAAAATTTAGGCCAAATTTTATTAAAAGGAAATAAATTTACTTTAAAATGCTGTTTAATATTTTTCCACTTAATGTCAACGTTTCTCAGAATAATTGTTGTAGCCATTTTTGCGTAGCCTAATGCATGCACCTTTCCAGAGCAGCTTTTTAATTTTTCCTGCTGTAGAACCACGTTTTGTTAGATTTTGAACCTTTTTCTTATTTTCTTTAAAATATGTAAGCAACAATTTAGTTGGAACATCCTTCCATACAAATTGGGGTTCTTTATTTTCATTTATTTCTTTGCAACTTTCGCCAGATTGGGAAATACCACTTTTATAAGGTTCGGTAATATCGTCAAAACCTAAGTAAGAGGAAATGTATATGTTAAAGTTGTTTTTTTTTTTGACAATAATCACGTGTAATTTCATTATTATTATATATAGTTTGTACCAAATAATTAAACAACTTTCATAGTTATCAGTAAGAATAAGTAATTTTGAAATGAAAAAAGGTTCATATTAAGATTAAAAAAATATTTACCTTGATTACAGTTTCGATCATCAGACATGATAGGCGGAGGCGGATTGTTCATATAATCTGGTGGTGGATACATTCCGATATCAACATCTTGTTATAAGAATATAGTGCATAACGAGTTAAAAAATTGTAAATTTGAAAAAAATTTTGAAGAAACGAGTCGTTTCAGAAGCAAAATTATTGCTGTGAAAAACTTTTCTAATTTTCGTGTCAAATAGTTAAAAAACATTTATCGTTCTCTGGTATGAAATAGCAAGTTTGAAATGAACATGAAAGTATCATGTTAAGTGTAAAAAATATTTATCACCTTGAATATGGCTTGCATAATTATTTGGAGAATAAGATAGATTAGACATGTTGGTATTTGTTGTCGCAATGATATCATAGAGTCTAGCAGCTTCTGGGACATAATCACAAGTTTGAGAATGGTATTCTGATGCTAATTCTATATAATTTGAGGCAATGAAAAGATTAATATAACGATCAAGCTAAGCGTTAGCATCTATGTAAAGTTTAAAAAATATTTATTACCTTGATTATAACCGTCATAAGATTCTGATAAATCAAAAACTGGGTAATAAGTGTGTTGTAAATCATTGGAAGTTGAAGGCTGGAAATTTATCATTTGATTATGATCAGACATGCTGTTGGAAAATGGATCGTTTGATATGAGCAACAAATCTAGATTTATCATTGTAAATTATTAGTTTTGGTTTATTAGTTTGAAACAAAGTGAAAAGAATAAGAAATATTTATTTACTTGGGTCAATCATTTCGCTATTTTCTTGTGTATTAAATGTATCTTGTGAATTCATGTTAAATGTATAAAAATATAAATGAACAATGAAGAAATTTAGAAAAAAATACTTCATACTTATAGATAATTTTTGAATTGAATTGAGCATCTATTGAATTGGAATTAACTTCAATCCAATCTCTTTGATGTGAAAAATAAATCAATTTAATCGAAAGTCTAAAGTATTGTTGAAAATTTTCGATTAGCTTTTCATTTTACTAAAGCGAACAAAAAAATTAATGAAGAAAAATTTTTTTTTTTATTGTAGCCGTTTATAATACTAAATATAGAACTTTATTTTAATCTTGGGAAGATCGGCAAAGGTTTCTCGAGATCAAATTCATTGTTCGATGAAAATATGACGTAAACTTTAGAACGTATTGGATTGAATTTTAGATTGAATTTTTTTTTGCGTAACATTTATGTCTTAATAACATTAATAAAGCTTATTAATTTAATTTAAAGAATGTAAAATTGAAAAACAATGTATGAGTGTGCTTGCATTATACCTTTTTGTATTAATGACTGCCTTTCGAGTAATTTGAGTGAATTGAAAAGTCTAATACAATCAATCCTCTCACTCTGGACCAAAAAAATTGAATTATAGAAAAGTTAAATAATGTAATTGTAGGGGAGGTTTTTTTTACATAATTTTATTATAAATTTCAAATCGAATCAACAAAATCTTTTAATAATTTATCCGTAGTAAAGGTCGATTACCACGCAAAATTTATCTTTTTTCAGATTTGACAGTAATAATTTGTTTCGAGAAAACAATTTTTTTTATTTTTAAATTAAGCTTTAAAGGTTTATAAAATTCAAAATTCGAAATTCTTTTAACAATCACGATCTTAAGGTGTATTAAATTACAATTTATTTAGAAATAAAATAAAAAAAAAAATCATTCAAAACTTTAAAAATATTGATAATTTAGGTGAATAATTATAATTGACTTTATAATTTATTAAAATTTAATTAATAATTTTTTTTTTATTATATAAAAATTTTATTTATTTTATATATTATTTATTATTGATTAAAATTAATATAAATTAATTTAAAGATAATTTAAGATCTATTTAAGTAACAGTATTAGCAAATAAATTTATCATTTTTTTATAAACTAAAATTTTTTATATAGATTTTTTTGATACATTTTTCTTAATTTTATACTTTTATTATATATATAATATATTTTAGAAAATAAAAATCCTATTTATTATATTTTAACATATAATTAATTTCTTAATATATAATACTAACTAATGCTAAGCTTTAATACTATCTATGAGAGAAATATAATGCAAGTAACAAAGTTGCTAATAGATAGATAAATTTGAAGAATAATTTAAATAATTTTATTTATTAATTATGAAATATTTATTATTTATTCAAAATTATGTTATATAATATCAAGTTACCTTATTATAAAATATTTGATTATTATTTTAAATATGAATTAAATAATACCAATATAACTATCCCTTTCTAAAAATTATTAGGTAAATATATATTTTGTATTTTAAAAATAAAAACTTAATATAAATTATCTCGGATAGTAAAATAAGCCATGCAAATTTTGTATGGCTAGCATGCGTTATGGCTTTTTCATTCAATATAGATTGGTAATTTTTTAAGATTTTTCTCAAATAACGTGAGAAAACAGTTTGGCGTTGTTGTAATTATTAATTTGCCAGAAATTTCCATCAATTTTGCATAATTTCTTCGTTTTTCATATCTTTTGTTTCATCTTGAATAATAATTCATGATATTATTTTTCCCATGATTGTCATCATGCATGTTAAATAATAAACATTAGAACAATAATCTTAATTTGTACAAATTGTCGTTCGCAATAATAATGATGATGATGATGCTTAATTTGTACAAAATTAGAAAACAAAACAAATTTCTGAGTCACTTTCCTAATTAGAAAACAAAACCACTTCAAGAAGTAAAATTTTTATTTAAAGAGAGCGAAGAAATTAGCAAATTTTGCATTCTCACACGCAATATTATAAAACGCACTTCAATTTATAATATCAATAATTAATCCGCCTTAACTTTTCACACAACACAATCACTTTTACACTTTAAACAACCATAAACCATGGCAAAATTCTCTTGCATTTTTATCTTAATCTCCGTAATCATTTTCGCTCTTCAACCTGCAAACGTTAGCGCTGGTCCTATTTCTTATGCAATTTGTCAAAGTGCATGTAATGTGGGCTGGGTTTCTTGTTACGCATCTGCTGGATTAGTCGCAGGTATATCATCTATTAATGTTTATTGCAAGTTAATGGATTAGAACGTAAATTAAACAAATTTAATTTTTTTAGGTACCGTTACTGGAGGTCTTGGTGCCCCCTTGGCCGCAATCGCTTGTAATGTTGCCCAAGGTGTTTGTATGGCAGCATGTGTTGGTTTGTTAACTGCTCCGACTCCCTAATTCCCTAGAGAAACTCCATCATTCTCGAGCAAGTTTTAAATAGTTTCTTTTATAAATTTGATAAGTTTGTTTGGTAGTTCCTTTTTTTTTTTTTTTTTTTTTTACAATCTTACAAGATAATATAAATATTGCTAAAAAAAAAAAAAAAAAAAAAAAAAAAAAAATTTATCATTATTTCTTTCTTGAATAGTTATAAAGGATTTCTTATCACAGTATTTTTATAAGTATTTTTGTCAGATTTTAAAAAATATATTGTATATTTGTATATTTGTTCGTTCACACATCATAGTAAATGTCTTTTAATGAGTTTAAATAAATAACCTAGTTTTAAAGTTGAATTTCACAAAATATTTTAGTTTTATGAAAAGATAGTTCCAAGTAAATTAAAATGAGATACTGCGGCACATCCTTCATCACGATAAAGTGACGGGTGAAATTATTCTGAATTTCCGAAAAAAAAAACTTGTTCTTTATCTAATTATAGAGCTTCTCTTTCATTTAATAACAATAAGTAACATTTTGAAAATTGACAAATTTTATTTCATATGTCAACCGCTCAAACATTTGTCGCGCATTGCGTCACAATACAAACATGATCTTATTGGTCAACAGCTATAAAATTGTAAATTTTTTTTTTAAATATTTCAAATACAAATTCTATTTAATAACGTCTTTTGTTGTCAAGATATTATAGAAAAAAAAACTTTTTTTTTTTATTTACCAACAAAATACAAAATCACATTTTCAAGGAGCAAATTTATATCATAACTTGTAAAATAAGTTAAATATTAAAATTCAAGCAAGTCATTTTAACACCACTTTAACAAATAAATACTAAATCACTTATATTTTTGTCTTTAAACCTCTACAATAAATGTTCGCTCTTCTGTCAAAGGTTAACGCTGTTCCTGTTACTTATTAGAATATGACAATTTCATATGCCGTGATCGAGAGTTCTGGCAGATCATGGAACCGCTCCTAAAATGTTAACCTGTATTTTAATCGATTTAATAATTGGTTGTCACTACATATTAAAATCTGAAATATAATTAAATGCCCGAATTTACAACTCGGACAAACTCAGGCTTTCGTAACATAATGTTCTCATAAAGTTCAATTCAGAATGAGATTTATTCATTTAATTTTAAGACAAGAAAAATATTTTTTTTAAAATAAAATTCAAAATTGTCAGTGTAACATGAAATATTCTAAATCTATTAACCGATAATGAAATTTCTTGTTCTTGGATCAAATATTAAAAAAAGCAATAACTTTGTGTACGATAAGGGAATAAAATATAATAAAATAAAAAAAATGAATTGGGATTACGCGAAACCTAGGTTTTATTTGACAGTTAAAAAGTGATATAACCAAAAAGAAAAAAATTTTCCTATTGCTCCAAATAGAATATAAAATCGAAATCACAGCATCATAACAGTTCCGGTAAATATTTTTTTTTTTTTAAAAAAAAAAAGAATATCATATTTCTTAACTATTGATTGCACAGAATCGATCCTTAATCACATTTTAAAAAATATACTAAAAGGTAAAGTGGTCCATTTTTCCAGGCGGATGATTTGTACCTTAAGCTTAATTTTGAAAAATTCAAAAATTGTCATCAATATCATTAATATTAATAGATTATAATACCAGATAACAAGTAACCCAGCCAACGTTATTAGTTTGATATATGCAATAGGACCGCGTTAACATTTGTTGGTTGAAGAGCGAAGATATCTCCATCCGTTTTTTTTTTCTTTTGGAATAGATATGAAATTCTGATAATTTTGATAAAAAATTTTTATTTTTAGTCATCGCAGTTTCATCTCTTAAAAACTTTGTTAAATATATAACGTAATACCGTATGTATTATTAAGAGTTTGCCAAAGCCAAATCACTCTTCTGATCATGCCTTTTAAATATTAAAAAATTTTTTTATTGTCGATACGATATTTACATAAAAAAGGATATGTAGAAAATTTCTCTGTCTTATTGTAATATTTTTGTGATCTTTATATATCGATATCTTCTTTATCTTATATTTTCATAAGAAACAGATATTACAATAATAGTTTCTTTAAGGAATTGGAAGAACCAAAAAGTAGTACAAGCACCCTGGATAGCGTTACAAGCTAGAACGGCAAAGGGGGCATAGAAAGAAATAGATCACGTGATATCGGACACCTGAAGTGCAAAGTATGATATCAGGAAAATGCTATTCACTTCGTTTATAGCTCGGTTAAAATTATCAGGGGTAATGGATTAAAGATTTTAGCAAAACAATAGATCAAAGGTATCGGGAGGTGGATAGAATAGATGCAATAAGACATCTTGTATTATTATATCAAGCGAAGCTGTATCACGGTCTAAGATCCGATATGTACTTTTTATTTACAATCAATAAAGCAAAATTCACTAAGCACAATATATTTACATGATAATATTGTGAGGATTGAGGGATTGTATTTGCATCCCAATAAATGTCCAGTATAATATTCGGGAAAACTATTGCTGAGATGATTGCTGTGCAACGTAAGAAAAAATTAAACGTAACATCTTGTAGATGCGTAATATTCTGATACTCATAATAAAAAGACCCTTTTGTACAATCCCATATGGTTAGTGGTCAAGGCTTTTTCTTATGTCTTTGAGCATCTGATTTTCTGTGATGCCATCATAACTCCCCAAAAGATTTTGATTCTTGGACCTCTGGAAATCATATAAGAGAAAGAGAAACGGCTAGAGAACCTTTTTATCTGCCTTGTGCAAATAAAATCAAGTGAAACTAATAATATCTAATCAAACTACATCATTGATCAAATAAACGAGATTATCCGCAAAGTAATAAAAAGAAAGGTTTATTGCTTGGCTAGCTTCTTGAAATATATCATCACGATGTTAATCGACATTCCCTCCTCTATAGATGTTCCAAAATAAAACAGAAATATTACTCTTCTTGTTATATCGGCATTCTGATATTCGTGTCAAATCAGCGCAGTAAAATTGTGATGCTCGTCACATGTCTTATATCAAACGTCTGTGCAGTAAATCAAATAAGGCAATCGAAATATAAGCAATTCCCTGTGCCATAATATTTGGCGGAGTGGAATGTTACAAAAATGGTAAGGTGAAATGAAGTGTATCGTTTATTTTTTATTGAAAAAAAATGTGCATGTACTTATTTCTATTCTCCGGTGCTATAGGTTCGAAATTAATTCACCACGAAAACGTTCATGATAGGCGATTAGGTTATTAGAATTTGAGAAACTTATAGATAGCAATATTAGCGATAGAAATTAATTAGTTATAGAAATTATTCTGAGAACAAAGAAATAATTTGATGCTCTTTGAATCATACATTTCATTCGCTTCTCGGGTTTTGTTTGCACGATCGTGTGATTTTTTCTGACTGTCTAATAGGTCATATGATAAAACGTCCGACAGTTACACCTATGATGCAATGTGTTACAGATTGATGTTTCAATATATTGGGTAATTAATCCTCCTTTTTCAACAATGAGATTTTTTTACAAATATAAAGCAGTTGAAGACTGGACTTGCGAAAAGCTTATAGAGTTTTATCGTGCTACCTCAGGACAAAAGGACCCGAAAAAAGTGCTAGATAGCCTAAAGAAAGATCTAAAAAGGTGAAAGAAACGAACTCTGAAATCGACACGACGCGTAAGAGAAGGCCCAAAGAATCGTTGATAACTGGAAAGTATATTTCTTTCTTAATAAGATAGAGAATTACAAGTTAGGGAAAAGCTGTGACTCCTGGTCTACAGTTATGAACCCTTTGTTCTTCCCGGGTGCAAGCTGTGATTCCTGGTCTACAGTTACGAACTCTTCGTTCGACACTCAAGCAAGCGCAAGCTGCGACTCTTGGTCCACAGTGATGTAATCTTCGTTCGACGCTTTCTTTGTTTGTGCATTTATGTTTTTTTGTATAATGTCTTGTAAGCACCGCTAATTCTGCATTCTTTAATAATTAGACCACGATGAGCGGTGATACAGGTAGTTTAATCAGGTGAGATTCTAGTCTGAAAATTCTTATGACAAATTACTTGTGTAACATTTTCATTCGATTAGGTGCAACAGCAGGTGCTCGAATGGTAATACTGTGTCTATCGATAATATCGATAATCGCCGTTTAACTGAAAAACGTAGCCGGGACGATGGAGACGATGGAAAGGATATAACACAGGTGGGATCAACGGGTCATTCTTTTATTGTTTTGAATATAAATAATTCAATATTTTTCTTAAAACTGACTTTTGTTGCTGTTGAGTGATGAAATCGATTCTTTCTTTCAGAGTTCATCTGAAAAAAAAATCGACAAATTTAATTAAAAAACGGCAGAAATTGGACGAACAAGGAAACGACACTGAGGAGGACGAGGTATGGTATTCACATTAAAGTGATTTGTTCAGTCTATTCATATAATGTCTTTTTCTATGAGCAGCTAACAAATTATGCACTTTCGCAAGAGGTATTTTATGAGGGAGTAAAATTGCAAACGAATTATAAGCAAGAGAACAAAATCAAGGAAAATGTATCTACACGCAAGGTAAAAAATTCTAGATGGTATGCTAAAACACAAAGGTTCACGTTCCCATATTTAGGCAAAAAAACGTGTGAAGAGTACTACGATCACGAAAAATTCAAGGCCAAAAAATGACGGCGAAAATTCCTCTTTCGATTTTATTTCCTCTTCTCTTGAGGAAGACGAAAAAATAGATTTTGATTTTAACAGCATTGAAAAGAAGTTTCTCGAGAACTGACTAATGATGTATGCCACGTATCAAATATTCTTATGCTTTTTATTTTCATATCTCACAATCTCATCCTTTTTTTAAGTGGGTTGTAGAAACTATCAACGTTCATGAAGATTTAGAAAATACCAGAAAGAGGTACTTGAGAAGACGAAAACTTAAGTTTTAAAATATTGCGACACATGTGCAATTTTGTAAGTGTTCGTACAATTGACTAGCCAATGGTTTATATGAGATTATGTTGATCATTCTTCCCTGTTATTTTTAGAGCTTTATCGTCAATAATGGTATTCCTCTGGCCCTGTCCGTATTCCATGTTTACCATTCAAGATTCTGACCACTAACCCGTACAAAATTCAAGAATCTCCTCTTTCACAGGAAATTCTACTAGATCTTTACAAGCATATCTTAACTGTTTTCTTTGCAATGATGTTTTTATGAATGGTGGAAAATCGAAACTAAGCAGAATAGCGGCGTGCGCATTCAATGATTTGTAAGTTAACTCATTTTATAATGTTATTTTTACTCACGAATTACATTTGTAATATTTTTTTTTTAACACATTACAGATATAACTGTATTCCGGACATTTGCGCCACAAAAGATGTCTAAGGATGAGCATTGCTACATGTTTCTTCATCCAATCTCCCGTCCAATATTCACTGATTCAAAGAAAGAATATGAGCTATCATTGAATCGTGCTAACACAAATTCAAAAAAGAGGCCAGACCTGAGTTGTGTAGTAGAAGGTGTACCAATACTTAACTCAGAATACAAACCTCTTGGTAGCACACCGTTACAACGTAAATAGATAAGCTGAAAGTACAGCTAAAAGCACGAAAATCGATAAATCAACAATTACGAAGCAAAGGAGGTCCGAGCGAAGCAGGCATATTATTTAATAATGAGATATTACATGGAAAGTTGTACATCTTATGTGATAATCAGACGAATTGATGTAATCATATTTCATGAACTTGAAATATGACGGTTTATATTGTTTCTGGATACCAAATTAGTTATTGATAAAACAACAATCTCGCTAGCGGATTTTCAATTAGTCATTTTGTGGCTTTAGAAGTATGTATTTTTTTTTAGTCAACAATAACGAATTTTGTTTACAACTTTCATTTGTTCTTTACGATTGTAGGAACTTGTTGGAAGAATCGCGAAGAACTTCAAATACAGAAAGTGTGGGACTGGCAGTACTACACCACTTGAACAAATATCATATATATGCGCGATGAACCAGATTCTCCACAGATAAAGAAACTTCTTCATTAAATATGGATAAGGCCATATTCATTTATTATATTAATATCATGAACATATTGGTTTTTTAATATATGCCCTATTTTGATATTCTTGATTTCTAAATGAATAATTTCTTCTTGTTGTGTTTAATTGCCTTAAAGAATCGAAAAAAATAAGTAGTGTATAAAAATCATCTGCTACCATTAAATTCTGAAGAATGATAATTTTTATATGTGTTCGAGTGATATGAAATCAGTTTTTATTTTAAAATAAGCAAATTTATTCTAGATTCTGAAAATAAATTAAAAGTACTTATTACGTGATAAGGGCCTGAACCTGGGTACATTTTAAGGATGCCTTTTAAAATATATGTATATTTATGTTCTTTATTAAATACGTATGTGACTTCTTAACTTCTTAAATATATCTTCTAATACATTTAGATTTGACATTTTTTTTCCTTTATTGAAAGTGATCCCTATATACTTTATTGGGCAAATTAATCCTAGACTCCGGGTTTAGGTTATTATCCTAGACCATAAATTTTTTTAAAGTACTTATCACGTGATATGTACAGCCTGAACCCGGGGTACATTTTAAGGACGCACTACTTTATTATGTTTACATGAAATTTAAAATAAATTGATGTCATCTGAGGTCATTTAAAGTCTTATAAACAAATTTGTATGTTAAAACAGTCTCTCCTATAATCACATTATTTAGCTTTTTTATAATCCAATATTTTGTCCCAAGAGGTGTGACTATAAGGTATTAATATTACTCGAATTCTGAAAGGCAGATCATTCGTATAATGCAAGCCTATTCATATATTGTTTTTCAAATTTACATTCTTTATAATAGAAAATGAGTATAAAATATTGGATTATTGATGTTATTAATACATAAATATTACGCAAAGGAATTCAATCTAAAGCTCAATCCAAAGTACACGTCATATATTTCATCGCATTGACAGTGAATTTGTTCTCTGAGAAGCCGATCTCCAAGATTAAAGTTGATTAGCGAGCTCTTTATGTTAATTAATTAAGAGGTTTTCTTCATAATATTTTTTGTTTTAGTAAAAGTACCAACGTTGCTAATTGAAAATTTAAAAATATTAAATAATTCTAAATAATAATAATTTTTGATTTTCTTTTAAGTTGATTTATTTTCACTTTGGATCGGTGTTAATCCCATTCAAATTATGTTTTTGCTCAATTCAATTCGATATTATATTATAAATAGGTAGATAGTTGTTCCCTCAAATTTCTAATTTATTATTTTTTTAAATCCTCATAAGCACATATACTCATTAGTATTTTCATATATCAAAGTGCACGCATATACGTTCAATATGAGTTCAATACAAGATTCTAATGCTTCAAAATTTCAACAAGATGGTAACGGAATGTTTAACCTATCTAATTAAATATTTCTTAAAATTTATATTAACCATTCATTTTTCTTTCAAACTAATAATAGCTGCGGAATTGTTACCAACTTTTGAAGATTATGAACTCGACGATATTAATGCGCCAGCCAACATGTCTGAAAGCCATATCCAAGGTATTAAATAAGTTTTAAATAAGACATTAATTTTCAACAAGATGGTGACGTTAAACTTACTCGCTATATATTAATCTTTACATTTGCTTCAAACTAACTATAGCGGAATTTCCAGATCCAACTTTTTATGATTATTCGAAAACTGGTGGACTCGATTGTATTAATGCGCCAGCCAACTACATGTCTGAAAACCATATTCAAGGTATTAAATAAGTTTTAAATTATACATTAATATTTCTAATTTTCAACAAGGTGGTGACGTTAAGCTTACTCGTTATATATTAATCTTTTCATTTGCTTCAAACTAATTATAGCGGAATTTCTAGATCCAACTTTTAATGATTATTCGGAAACTTGTGGACTCGATTATATTAATGCGCCAGCCTACTACATGTCCGAAAACCATATTCAAGGTATTAAATAAGTTTTAAATTATACATTAATCTTTCTAATTTCAACAAGATGGTAACGTTAAGATTACTCGTTATATATTAATCTTTTCATTTGCTTCAAACTAATTATAGCGGAATTTCCAGATCCAATTTATAATGATTATTCGGAAAATGGTAGACTCGATTTTATTAATGCGCCAGCCAACAACATTTTTGAAAGCCATATTCAAGGTGCATTAATCTTTCTAATTTCAACAAGATGGTAATGTTAAATAATCGTTTTATTAAACTTTTCAAACTAATAATAGCTGTGGAATTGATAAATCAAAATCAGTATCCAACATTTCATTCGCATTCTTCGGAAGATTCTGTACTCTATGATAATACAGATATCAACATGTCTGATAATTATGGAAGCCTAATTCAAGGTAATAAATATTTTTTAAAACTTTGCATTATCCTTTTTATTTTGCTTCGAACTAAATGAACTACCTAATATTCCAACGTCAGCATATGTGAACAATCTTCATGTGACACTTACAACTCCAAACAGCATGTCTGATTATCAAGGTAAAATTTGTTAAACTTAATATAATATGAACCTTTTTTTCATTTTAAAATTGCGTATTCATATCTGAAAACGATGAATGCTGTTTAATTATTTGGTACTAACCATAATAATAACGTTACATTACTTCTTTCTTAGGTTTTGACGCTAATACCAAATCTTATAAAAATGGAAGTTCCCAATCTAGCGAAAGTTGTGAAGGAGCTGAAGTAACAGAGAATAAATCTCCATGTATATGGGATGAAGCCCCAACTCTATTGTTGCTGAAATATTTGAAAGAAAATAAGGAAAAGGTCATAATTCTAAAAAAACGTGGTTCTACAGCAGGAAAAGTTAAAAAGCCGCTCTGGGAAGGTGTATCCAATATGCTACGCGAAAATGGCTACAACCAATATTCTGAGGAACAGTGTAAAAATAGGTGGAAAAATATTAAACAGAATTATAAAGTAAAATTTATTTCCTTTTAATAAAATTTGGCTGCAATTTTTATTTATTTTTAATGATTGGATTTTTTTTATTTAGAATAAGCCAGACTATAAGTATAAGTTAGACGTTGAAGAAATTCTAAGGTTAGTTCTAACGATTTACATACTGTATATAATTTGAATTATAATAAAAATTTTCTAAGAATAATTATCAATTTATGCACACGTTTAGAGTTTAAGATAAAAAAAAATTTATGATTTAAAGATTTTGACATTGTTTTCAATTTAAGAATTTAAGTTTTACAAAAATGAATGCGCCTTTTTTATAAATTAGTTATAGTTAAGTTATATTCAAATGACACATTTTGTTTCAGATATGATTTTTAAAAAATAAGAAAATTTCGGTCACGTGAATACGTATGCCAAATTTCGGAATTTAAATTTCGTTAAATTAGTTAAATTATTAATTTTTTGTACACATAACCTTTTGGTTCTGTAATATTCAAGATTATTTTTATCTAATCCAAGGATTCTTTGATTCCTTGTTGTTACTGTACAAAGGCCATTTCTTGCAAGCAATATGGTAAATTAAATTAAACTGTATGTCCAGTATTAAGTATAAATTTGTAAGAAATAACCTATTTTTTTTTGCATTGGGTGTGTATAAATCTTGAAAATATTTTCTAGATTGCTTAGAATTGGGTTGAATTATTGAAAAGTTAGAACCAGTGGTATAAATAGCTTGTGAGATTTAAAAAAAATAAAAGCCAATTGCAACCAACAATAATGATCAGCTTTTGATTTAATACGTGTTTTACAGTAATAACAGTGTTAATGTACAAAGGCAATTTGAAACATCGCTACAATTTCGAAACGCATTTTAGGCTTGCATTGTATAAGTTGAAAAATTAAAATTAAAATTTATAACAAACCCAAAATTAATAAAAATTAAGTTTAAAAGTTAACCAAAAAAAAAAAAAAAAAAATCCTTAATACGAATATTATTTAATATGTATTTTATTAACCAGCCAAATTAAATGAAATAAAATTTGTTTTTTAAAATCATGCGTGTATTGCGGGCTTTTTTTTCTACAAAAATGGTGTTTTAGTTGCAATAACATATTCTTCAGTCGAGTCGAGTTGAAGTATTAAAAATTTTACCTTGACTCAATTCGAGTTATATCTAAACTTGACTCAAGTTAATTTATCATAAAGCTCTAATAGAACTGTAGTAAATTCGTTCTAAAGGAACGATAAAATTCTTGCATTCTCAGTTTTTATAAACGAATTTTAGTTTTCTTTTTTTCCTTTGCATTATACTTTCATTCCATTAGTTTGATTGTAAAATCCATTTCATTAGTTTCACAATATATGGATTCTTTGTATATAACATTTTTGAAAACAATTTTTGTCAATATCTCCAAGAATTAATTTTTTACAATTTTTAAAAAAATTAATGGGTCTTGTAAGCATGAGAGATTTTTTTTTAAAACGTAGTGTAACAAAATAATTCTGCGCTAAGTAAATTCTTATTGGCTGATTCGTTATAGAATTTAGTCATTGTTGAAGTATCACCAACTTTAATAATCAAAAAAATTTTTAAATAAAACTCAAAATGTTCTTTATTGATAAGAAAAATCCAAGAATTCATTTGTTGTTGTTACCTTTTCAATACCATAAATATTAAATTTCGAGAAATCAATTCTACGATTATCATTAAATGTAAGCAATATGTAAATTTGAACTTTATTACGTACTTTAAATAAACTGCCTGTTTTGACAATGATTGCAGTATACATAAATGTTTATATTTATGTACTGTATCATAAACGTCTCGTATTTTAAAAATATCAAAAAGCACCAACACAATAGTGGATCGAGTGTTAAAAGAGCCGGAAGGCAACTTTCTATGAATGATAATGAACATTGTAACAAATTATAAAAAAAAGAATGCCACAGTATTGAAACATGCATTAAGAATCAACCGACGTACAGTATCCATGAAAAATCCTTAAATAACTAAATTTATTTTTTTTAGTTGACCGGATCTTTTTGAGTCTTCTGCAGAAAAGTTCTATATTCATATTTTGCTGACAAAATATAAGTATTCATAAAAAAAAAATAATATATTTTTATAATAAAATTAATAATGTTAAGTATCTCTATACTAAAGCATCACGAAAGATTATGACTAAATTTGGACAAAAATTCTAACCATTTTCATCGTTTATAAAATGCGACGCATTTACTTACTTGATTCTGAAATTTGATATGTTATGTTAAAATATATTTGTAAATATTAGAAAGAATAATAGTTATTTTTAATATCTTATCGTTTATCTTTTTATTGGTTAAGAGAACTATTTTAAAAGTTCAATTCAGTTGAGGCATGTCTCAATACTATTTAAGAAATTTGTTCATTGTCTTTGGAATTACGCTTCATTATTCAATTGAAAATGGTGCGATCTCACTTGTTAAAAAAATGTCCTTGTTTTTTCACGTGATAAATTTTCATTATAGATAATATATCAGAAACCAATCCAGCAAATATGTAATAATAAACCCAGCCAAACATTGCATGCTGTTTGACATACTACAATAAAAATAGGGTTTAATGTTAAAATTTGTTGGTTGATTTTTATTTAAATTTAGAGTTAAAAACGGATTATACAATTTTTAATTTTAATTTATTTAGAAAGGATTGCAAAAATGTTATTCGGTTTAAAATATAATTAAGAGAACTAGCTACATTACATAATAACAAAAATGCAATCATTGTTACGGCTGTCAATTTTTAATTGGGAAAAAATAATATGGTAAATAGTCTAAAATACCAATGAATTTATTGTCCCGCGTTAATGATACCATTTTGTTGATGATCATCCTTATTACTATTTTCATCTTGGTAAGAAATATTATGCGACAACCCATTTTCATCAGGAATAATTGGATGCTGCAATTGTTGCAATAGGTAAAAGGGGAGAATCTGCTTCAAGCTTTGTTCGAGATTAAATTTTTGATGTAAAGTCATTAATCCTTTACCATATAAGTTAATATCGATATCCATTCCATATATCTCCTTGTTCAAAATATCTATAATCAAAGAATTTGAGAAAAGTTTGCATGTAACGTAATAATTTGCTTCAGCGCATTGATAAAAGAACCCATGTTCGTAATTATCATCCAAAGAGATAAAATCTTGTAAAATCAATTTACAAGTTACGTGATAAAAGTTATCATCATCTTGTGGTTTATAAAAAAGTCTAAACTCGTCCAATTGCAAAAATTGGACGGCAGTTGGCGCAGTCGTCATTTTGCTTTGAGACATTGGCTATTTGAAGTGTGAGTAATTTGTCACAGATGACGGATCTGTATTAAAATTTGAAATAAACCTTGTAGAAATCAATCCTATATGCTAACTAAACAATAATAATTATTTTAAAAGTGTTTAATAGAATTTATATTGAGCATAAGAATATTTCTAATAAAAATTCTTTTGAAAAAGGTCAATAGATGACTCGACAAGAAATATTGAAAATTTTGTGTCAATAAAGCTAGAAGATATTGTCGTTTCGGAAGTAATAAAAAGTGTTATAATCCTGAGTGTAATAAACCGAGAAAACTTAAGGAATTTTTTGAAGTGTGAAGTGTCAAAGAAGAAAGGAAACAGGAAAAAAAAAAAAAAAAAGTGGGAAGGATCGTTTAAAATAAAATCGGGTGTAACCGTTAGGATAGACATCAATCAGTTTTTGGCATTATGTATAACTTCCATTCCATAATAGGTATATAAATTTGTCCCAAATCAATCCGATGAGAGTTATAGTGAACCTCCATGTAAATGGAACAATCTACTCCACTACAATTATTCTGCCGATCAATGTGCGAATAAGTGGAAAAAACTTAAACAGAATTTCAAAAAGCATAATAATGAACACAAATCTTGGAAATTTAGTCGTCAATTTTTTCCTCAGGCTATGTAAATACCAAGTTTAAATCATTTAAATCATTTAACATTCGTTCTTAATAATGGCGACATTCTCTTATGAAATAACTGGTTGTTATAAGAGTAAGATGAGTACTGAATCATCTGTTGAAGAACGATCGAAAAAAGTCATTAAAACTGATTTTACGTTGTCAATTCGTCAAAGAAAAGAACATAAAGGAAAAGGAAGTAACAGAAAGATGCTTGAAATAAAGAATATAATAAGCTAAAAATAAATAAAATTTTCTTGAATTCATTTTTTTAAGGCAACATTGAAACAACACCCACTCGGTTTCTATTGGGAACATTGCCAGTACATTACGGATAATATGATTTCCGACTTGATTTTACTGGCAACGTTTTCAATGATTTTTATGTTATGTATACCTTTGATTTATTCATAATATGTATATGAATTTATATACTGTATGATTTAATTACAATAAAATTGTACGTGTGTACCTTCAAATCATTTGATTTTTATTTTATCAATTAAAAAAATTTCAATAATAAATACAGTTGTGTAATGACGAAATTAACACTATTCTAATAAAAATGAAACGCGATATCCTAACAAAATACTGAAATTCATTAAAGAAGTGCTTATCACAATTAAAAATGTTCGCGTAGTTTCTCTCAATTTCCTTTTTTGTTTCGCGCGCACATCAAACTATCCTAATTTGTGGATGATTTAATTGCATATCTTATTATGTCTCCGGACGCAAGCTTCTTTCTTTATTTATATTATCCTTTCGAAATTAGTAAGATTTTGTAAATAGTAAAAATTAGGGTAGTATTAACATTAAATTCATATACAATAAATCAGTTGGGTTAGGAAAATTGGTTAATGGTGGTAGTTAAGTATGAGTCGGAAAATATGCATAATAATTATAAAAGGGTTGTGTAAATTAAAATGTAGGGGAAAGAGGAAATAATTCATTATACAGTCGTACTTCCTTATAGTCACACAGTTGGGTCACATAGTGACTTTTAAAGCAAATGTGCTTATAAAGAGGTAATATGTGACCTCAAACGCTTTAACATTAACTTATCCCCACCAGAACAATTTACTCATAGACTACAAGGTGGATCCACTACCATTCAGTCAATTATCCCACAAGACTACAGGAAATCAGCCCCCTCCTTGTCCAAATATTTCCTAATGTTTGTGGAACAATTAGTTAGCCATATAAACATCCAAATTTCAAATGTGTGACTATACAAATGATGTGCTTATATAGAGGGTGACTATATGGAGGTACGACTGAATTATTGATACATAGTATATTGATAAATGAATTTTCATTATGGGAACAAATCAATAAATAAATCTTTAATTGATACAAAACTTTATGGCGTCATCAATCAGAATGCTTATAAAACTAACTAATATCTTAATAAATAGGAATAATTAAAAACAAGATTAACTAATAGCCCAAGAAATGTATTATTAAATTGATTAGACATGTGATGAACTGAAAAAAATTTGGAGTTTCGATTGTTTTAATTTTACAATTAAAAAGGAATTTTTTGAAATTTCAAAAGTTCTTTTTTTTAATTTTGCCTACATATATGAAAATAATATTTAAACTTTATTAAGAACTATTACAAGTTATACAAAAATGAAGATTGAAAGCTTTTAAATAAATCATAACGATGCTATTCCAAACTTTGTTATAATTTAAGAATTAAAGAGTCAAATTTCTTAAAAAGCATTCAACAAGTTTAGCTTAGTTAAATTTTTTTTAATTAAGATATTTACATTTTAATCTAATAACTTCAAAAACTAAAGTGCTATAAAAATCAAAATTTTGTTAAAAATTTCCAGAATCTGTTATTGGTTATATTATCTTTCGGAATTTAAATGTCTGCATTTTAATTAATTTTTTGATTTATTTAGTATCAACCTGAGACAGTTTTTTTTAAAAAAAAAAAAAAAATTTTTTTTCTAGAAAGATCGTAGTCTATACAAGCTCTAAACAGGTTAATACAAAAGTAACTTAATAAAAGGACCCCGATCAGCAATTCATTTATCCATTAAAAGAACTTGAACAAAGGTGTTTTATAATCGCAAGTTATCAGACGATAAATTATTTATTTAACATACCTTTAATAGCATGATTTTCAGTTACCATTTATTTATAAATACTTGCCAACCTTGCTTAAATTTTCAGATTTTTTCCAATCCTCGTTATTTCCCTTATTTTTTTATATTTATTTTTTTTTTTTTTAAAAAAAAAAAATCTTTTCTTCTATGTTAAATAAAAATTTATGTTTGGGATTTTTATCAAAACACTTTATTATATCTCATCAAATAAATAACCATGCAGTCATTATGTCACGATTTAAAAGTTGAAGTATTTAAATATACCACTAGTCCAATTTCACTTGTCGCTACAAATAGAGATTGGCGCGCTATTTCTCAAGATCCCTACACCCGAGCGGATTGGTTAATTTATAAATACGGGATATCACACGCATTATTTCACGCCGTTAGACTTGGCAGAAGCTTCTTAACAGTTGAAGCTGTACAAGCTTTACTTTCGAAGAAGGCGGTATTTTCTAGATATTTTATACAACGGCTATTTAAGAATTTTGGCACTCATGACGAGAAACTTATGAAATTTAAAGAACAACGTGATCTAAATCAAATTAATAGAATCATCCGAAAGGAAACCTGGGGTAGCAGCTTACATATGGAAGTTTTCAAAATATTACTTATTGAAGGATTTTCTATATTTCATAACTGTGAGATTAAAGGGAATGATATGGAATTATTTCATTTATTATCGGCTGGTCCTCTTGATGTTAATTATGCTCCTCAAATACTTCGACAAAATATTGATTCCATTGAGGATTTAATTTTGAAATACAAATTTATCCCTTTTCCAAAGCGTCCAAAGGCTGTTTATGAAGATACGGTGGAATATGCTGAATTAATGCAAGCTAGAGCTAATGAAGAGCATTCGTTAAGATATGGTTATGAGAGCAATTTTCAACTTGATGTGGTGGCTGGAGCAATATTAATTCATCCTGATTTAATCTCTTTGTGGAATAAAATTGGTTATTACGAAATATGTAACGATGTCAATGAGATAGTAATGCGAGGGGCTCTTTTAATCCTTTTCCCCCTTAATCCACCTAATAATTGGAAACGTCCCGATGTGAATACCATCGTTACTCGTTTAAAACAACTTATTAAACTTGGATTTCATTTGACTTATAATGTTTTGGAAGAAATATTTCATTTATTTGAGCATCGATTAAATGAAATTGGTGATCTATTGATGAATTCAATCAAAGAAATTTTCGATGAATCAAAATCGGTTATTGCAGAGTCTTGTCTTATTTGGGCGATTAAACCTGAAAGGAATCATGAGAAGACTGATTTGTTGAAATTTTTAATCGATAGAATTGATCAACCGGAAAAGGTTTTGAAAAATGCATTAGATCATTACAAAGTGGGATTCAGGTTCGATTTCAAGTCCATCAAAACAACAAATGAAATTAGATCATTAACGGTTAATTCAAACCTTTATTATTGGATACTTAAAAGTTATGGTCCAAGCTCGGAAATTACGCAACAATGTTTTGATGATATTGTTGAATCAAGAACCTGGATAGATTTAAAATTACAAGGAACATCTGGAAGTGATGGTCCAATACGTCTTACTACTTGTGCTTTTAATTCTATCTGTTCTATTTATCTTGAATTTTGTAACGACAAGGTTCCATTTAAACCCTGTTACTTACAATATTTACAATTGGTCAATAATAATGAAATAATTGAACCATTTTTTGAAATGAGCTTACCTATAACATTTGGTTTACAATTGAAAGGAACATTCCCTTTTGATATTACTTATGATTACAAAAGACCAAAAGTTGATGTTCAAAATCATAAGATGAAATCTAACGTGATGAATGATAATCAGCAAACTACGAAAGAAAGGAAAAATTGGTATGATCTACTAAAGAAGTATGAAGAACAAATTCTTGGAAATAATTTTGAATTGACTGAGAGGTTTAAAAATAATTTTGAAAAATTTTGGCCATTGTTTATAGATTATGATCAAATGAACGATGGTGATGATTTCGTTGTTGAAGGTTCTTCTTCGAAAAGGCTTAAGCAATGAAAATTTTCACAATTTCTTTTTTTTATGTAGCGTTAGAATTTTTAAAATAAAGAAATCATTATTATTAGCAAGTACTAGATCATGTTACTGATAACATAACGCGTGCATAATGATACGCGTTCTTTCTTTGCGCGTGGTTTTTCTTGATGTCTTTACGTTTGCAAAATGGCTTCGACAAAATAAACAATACAATACAATAATAATGACAGATTTATATCTCCCAAAACTTACACTTCTAAGTCTAATATGTCAATGCATCATCCGCCCCACCGGAAAAATATCGGTTAAAGCAAGTCTAATCGGTTACTCAAGTAAAAAACGAATAAAGTAATACTCGATTTTTTTATTGGTTACAGGTAAGGCTTCGATTGAACTTCTGTCGCACGACATTAAGTGATTAACAAATTTTTTGAAATGCACATCTTCTAATTAATAACATAAACCTGTGTTCATCGTTCTTTTAATTTTCATAATTTCAATCAATAACAGTAAAAAGAATTCGAAATGTCTGAAATCAATTTTTAGGTTTTAGGATTTTCCTTACTCTCACGTACTACTTTGATTAAGATTTATAACTTAACGCAGGTTGGAACCAGTAATATATTTATGCGATTTATTTAAGTTTTCTGTAATCATTACACAATTAAAACTTTATTAAATTTGTAAGTTTAATTTAAACATTGATATATTCGGCCGACTGCACTACGCAAGGGCATGATAAATTTCTGAAAGAAATCGTCGTTCAAAAATAAAATTTTCGTAACTTTATGAATTCACAATAATCGTCGTTACTTTGGACATCTGATATGATACAATTTCTTGTTACATTGCCTCTCGAAATATTCCGATCTGCGTTACCGCACTGGAATTTTATCAATTATCTGTTATTGCATACGTTCAATTCGACAACTATACCATATTTAGAATTCACCCTTACCACGTATCGAGCGACAAACAGCTTCATATAATGCAGCTTCGTAGGAATGTTCTATAACTATGACCAGATGAGGTGTTCTAGATATAATCGCCGTTATTATAATAGATTTTTGTATCAAAGGATTATAAATGTTGAGAAAAAAAATCCAAAATCAAGTTCTGGTCCTTTCAGAACAACTTTTGCGAAAAAAAAAAAAAATGGTAAGCCTTGAGTGCTGAAGAAAATCTCCAGGGAGTAAAGCTTGCTGTAATTATCGCTTTTCCATCAAAATAATAAAAATAATAATATCCCTAAAAAAAGTATCTCTGAACAAAAATATATCCGCTTTTTTCCATATTCTAGTTTTCTAAATTTGGTCTGAATTTAATAAAGTGTGAATTAAAAATTTCAAGTCTGTGTTACCAATTATGGGAATTCCTAAATCCGACTAGTTATGATCGATATTACTTGAGAATAAATCTATTCGTTCCGCATTCAACATATTGCTGTACAAAATCGTCCTTTAAATAATTATTTTGTCCTTTATCAAATGGTTCGTGCCATTGAAACATTTAATTCTAATGTAACAAGTCATGGAATATAACAAAGGAACAATATTCATTTTGGAGTGAGATTATTTTCTAGTAAATAGAATTGAGTTTATCTATTTAAGAAAGAGCACATTACAACATTTCCTCTCAATATATTAGTATTAGAAATAAAACAAACAAACCAATATAAATTAATAAATTAATACAATAATCATTGTACGACACCATGACTAATACTTAAAGTATTATGTGCATATGTTGGGTTGATTTAAAAAAAACAGCATTTACGCATTAAGATTTAATTAAATTAGTGACAGGCTTTATGTTTCGTAATGAAAAGTTTTAAGAAGTATACATGCAATACCTCCGACTAAGGAAGTGAAAACTTAATGCCGTTAACAAACATATCAGCAAAGCAAAAGATTAATTATTTTTAAAATGACGGATGACAAATTTATGCCGTGTAACGTAAATAATCCTGAAATTAATTATAATAAAAACAATATATATAAATATACCCAAAAAATTGTTAAAAAAAAAATATAAATGTTTGATTTATTCTCTTGGATAATAATAATAATACATAAATATAGTTATATAATATACAAAATTTTTGAAATGTTCATTATAACTCTTAAATTCTAACAATCACCCTACTTCCCTCCTAGTACACATTTCCCTCTCTACATAAAATTTCCATAATAGTTGAAATTTTGATTGCACATATGGCTTGGTGCTAGATATTTGATTAGAAGTTCTTCCAAGTGTAATTGAAGGTTTCTTTTATGTTCTTCAGAGAACTTCACATAAGGTTGTTCATTGAAATTTAGTTCGATATTGCGAACATTCTTATTTAAATATTGAACCACAGATATATGTGGGATCAATTCACAAGTTACTTGATAAATTTTCTTATCATCCGGTTGTTGAAAAGGGAAGACAAACTTATTATTTGATTGAACATCATTATATGGTCCAAATGTTATATCTCTACAAAAAATATCGTAAATTTGAAAATCATTTGGTGGTTTATAAAAGAATTTAAATTCATACGATGTCTTGGGTTCAATTGTGTTAATATTTCCTTGATTATTAGGAATATAATCGGATGTAGGAGGTAAATGAGGTAATGGATAAAATTGATGATATTGAATTGGTTGTGGAATTTGATTTGAAGAGACGGGCTGGATAATAACGTTATTAACACCATTTTGTTGATACGAGAATTGGTTTTCGCCAATGTTAACATCGTTATGAACGTTTGGAATCATTTGTATGGATGCCATATTTGATGAGTAGTTCAAATATGAGGGATACGAGTTCGGTCCATAAAGATATTGCGATCGGGTTGGTGTTGTATCCATAATTTAAAGAAATCTTAAGGTAATAAGTTAGGGTTTTTTAATTTTTTGTTGGTTTTTTAGATTTTTTTTTTAGATTTTTTTTTTTTTTAATGATTATATTTATAAGAAAAATTATTTATATTAGATATTCTAGATTATTCCGAAAAATGCTGCCCCTTTTTCTTTCATGAAAAAAAAAAAATTTTTTCCCGAGCACCATAAATTTTTTTTTTTAACCTCCTTTGTAAAGTCGTTCTTTTTGCTTATTCAGTTTAAACAAGTTTTTCTTGTTTATTTAGTCATCACATTTGATTCACATAATCGAAATACATTTTTTTTTTTTTTTTTTTTTTTACGGGATTACAATTAAATTAAACATAAGCACTGTAACCTTGACAACAAAAAAAATAAACAAATTCCTTGATTCTCAGTACCCATGACTTATTCATCATTTGTGACTCACGTAATGCTATCTTTTATTAGGGATGATTGATTATTGCATGTTTTTTTTTTTGAAAGGATTCAGTCCAATTTGGGATTTCTAAACGGCTGAGAATTTATGAGGTTTGCATATATGCTGTCAAATCATAAAGTGCATTCGATCTTTAAGTTAGATAAAGCCACCAAACAAAAACAAAAAATGGGGAATTGAAATGTAAAGAAAGAAGCAAAAAGAAAGAAAGAAAAAAAATATTAGTTAAAATGAAAGATACATTCATTGTCTTACAATTTTTTTTTTTAATTTCGCACAAAATTAATTCTAACAAATCGAGAAGTTTTAAAAGGAAGTTCTATGGCTTGTGCATCTGGGAATAAGGTTAAACAGAGTCAGCCTTATGAAAATAAAAACCGATTCTACACAAATAAGCAGCAACAAATAACATGGTCGAGATGGTATACATGAATTACCATAATTATATTACGCGTATTGTGACATTAAAACGCGAAAATCTAATGGAGTTTAAATCCGACACATCGGAGTTTCAAAAAAAATTTTTTTTATTCCTTATAATAATTTCTGTTGTGGTCAAGTTCTATTGTTATCAAATCCATTGTTTATATTGTCAAATGTCATTCCAAGCATCCCAATCGACGATCTTTGCTATTTTTCTTTTGGTGTGGAGTTATGGAATACTTTACTTACCACTACTCCGAGCTGTACGTAATCAGAATTATTACTTAAATGTAAACAAAAAACGTTTTCAGTTTATTATTAAAGAAAGTCATGTTTGAACTTATGTACTGCAGCAAAAAAAAGAGAGTTGAACAATGCCGAAATAGGCAAATTAAAAAAAAAAATCCCTTTGTGCTTGCAACTTTTTTTTTTTTTAAAAAAAAAAAAATAAAATAAAATAAAAAAATAAAAAAATAAACAAAAAAAAAAAAGATTGCAAATGTTACACTGATAATAAATTTAATAAACAAATAAGCAATAAATAAAGGATTGTGGCATAGCAACCTGCTTGCCTAAATTCGTTCAATTTGTCGAACTTCCGCACGCTCCGAATTTTTTTTTTTTTTTTTTTTTTTTTTTTTTTTAATTAATAAAAAAAGTCTTGCATTCATTACAAATAGAACAAACAACTTATCTATTTACGTAGTTAAACGTCATTTGCAACCAACCACGAAATAATCTTGCGTTTACTCCTTTATCAACGCAATCTTTGTATGGTGCTGATGACAATCAATAAGTCTTAAAATTGTTACCGGCAATAAATCCGGTAACTCCTTTTACCGGGCGACGATGTATTAGATAAAAAAACCACGTGTGTAGATTATTGGAAAAGTTCAATAAAATCATATGCCATTTTAGATCTTTTGTCAATTATAATTTTTAACTAGGTCGCATTGAAAAATTTATTACCAACTTTTTGGACGCAACTTCCTCAATTATTATCTATAATTCTCAATTCAAATTTTGTTATAAAGATTGCGTTGTTAATAAACCCAATATCATGTTCAATTTCCATTTTGCGAATACATCCTTTTCTCATAGAAACTGCATGAATAATAAAAGTGATTTTGTAGAGTAATTAGGTTAATCTATGGTTACATGTTTGATTCAATAACGTCGAGAAAGCGCATAAGTTATAAGGTTTCATTCGAATCAAGGCTCACCATTTATTATCGTTATTGTTCCAGAATCGAAAAAGTGTGCGTTAGGAAATAATCCCTTTTTTTTTTGAGAATTCAATAAATAAATAAGTTGGATCATCTTAAAACCTTTTTATTTTTATTTATTTTTTTGTTATATTTATATTTATTATTTTTTATGTGTCACACTTCAAATATTTTAGTGTAAGCAAGTGATCACATGTGCATCATGAACTCGGTACCGTTTTTGTTTGTTTTTTAACATTTATGACAACCTTTGTATTATTAAAATAGTTATGTAGTATTTATACATTATATATATATATTTTTTTTAGATTGTCAAAGCACATATATATATGAACAATTAAAAATTCTACGTATACTTTTTATGTCAAAAATCTTTTATATTAAAAAAAAAACCCCGTTACGGCGATTTTTATGTAAACTCCGATAATTGTTTCACAATGAAATGTGTAAAAGGAAGCGAAGTTTACCAAACAGGACTGTATTAAAAAGTACCTATTGTCCTAAATTTGTTAATCTCATTGTACTGTACTGTACACACATAAATACTTTCTAGTTTGGATCGTTAAAGAAATTCAAGGTATGAAAAAATTTTGTATTTCCTTGACATCTAACGCTCCATCAAACTTCAACATTTGAACCTGTTACTTTATTATTATCAATCAAAGGTTTGAATAAAATTTCATTTTGAAGTTTTACGCCATACCCCATTCCTTAACAAATTCTACAACTATTTCTTGATATAATGGAGCTACCGAATTACTTATCAAGGGTAAATATTTAACTATTTATGAGCAAAAGAGTATCTTATAACGATATATTTTACGACAATTCGATTGAACAAACAAGTTAAAAAAGCAATTTTTTTTTTTTTTTTGGCTAAATTTCTTTATTATAAATAGATGCAAAAAAATTATACGAATTATACGAAAAAAGCTCATTCTATCTAATAAGAAATAATTCATGCCAAGAAACATTTTCAAAGTTTCATCCAAAATCCATTTGTAAAAAACTTGCGAACGAGAATAGATCAACCTTAAAATTCTTATAGTCTTGCATAGTGAGATAAATTTATTCCACTTAATTAAAATAAAAAAGTCTTAGGGATGGAAGGGACGTAAAATAAGAATGTTTTGAAAGTATAATGTGTCATAAAGTGAACATACAATGAAATGTATTTTTGATGAGAAACTTAATTTTGGCTTTACGAAATCATAAAAGGTTAGAATAATAAAATCTTTATTCCATAATAATTACCATTAAATTCTTCATGGTAGCTATTAATATATTTAATAAATAAAAAAAACTTCTTAACTTCTTATCAAAAGCATACAACATGTGATAAACTTAATGTTCATATAGTTATAGGATCAAAATTTATTATGAGTCGGCGCGGTTTATTAACCCGGAACCTCCCTCATCGCACCCCATATCTTGCGTGTCTTGCATGATGTCAGAAACGACCTCGCTTGAAGGAGTCGAAGCCTCATTATAAATGGGATTTTCCGAATACGCTTGGGAAGTAGTCTGAATCATCATGGCATCAGAAAATGGGATATTATTATTATCATTATTATCGCGTTGATAACTAACGGTTTGCTGAAGTTGTTGCTGAATCCGTTGATGGATCAACGATTGTATATTATAATGATACGGAAATTGGAATTCTGGGACGTGAGATAAATTTATCCTACTGTTTAAGCGTCGTGCGATTTCGTGTGTTGGTAATTCGGTATATGTGACATGATAAATGCGCGCGTCATTTGTAGGTAAATAAAACTCATAGGTGAAATTTTGATTCACAGGAACCGTATCATGAACGTGTAGAGAGGTTTCATTACGGATGTTTGAAAATTCGTCGACGTTGTTAATCGAAGTACGTTGAACGTTTTGTTCATCGATATTATTAGGATGATTGGAGGACGGTACGTAGTTATTTTCAGCTTGATCCATGATTAAATTTAGGAATAATTTTACACCGACAATTTCGTATATAAAGTCAACTTACGACATTTATAAGCGTGCAAAAAGAAAAAATGAAATGATTAATAACAAAAGTTGGAAATTGAACTAAGATTTAGTATTCAATTGCGTGCAGGATCAGATGTGGTGACAGAAAATTCTGCAAAACACCGTAATTCCATTCTCGAATGATGCCGATACATAAAAAGAAGTTTCGACCAGGTATTCAGATCTTACATACCTCCTATGGTATAAAGAAAATCCCTTGTTGATTTGATTACAATTAAAACCAATAATAGATCCATTCCAAACCATGTACGGAATTATAATTTTGTTTTACCCATATGGAAGTACAACATTTAAAGGGAGACGCAGCATCAAATCTATTTATTGATTAACTTTTTAATAAATAACGAATCGAGATTGACCAATCACAGGTCAATAAAAGAAAATATTGTATTGGTAAAAAGGTTATTTTTTTATTTTTATTTTTTAACTTTTTTACCACAACAAATTAGGAATCTTTAATTCAGGTTAGGTTTCTTATTTCTTTTTTTCAAGTAATTTACATGCCCCTTGTAACTGAAACGTGTAACACAAAATGTATTTATTTATTTATATGCGGGGGAAATTTAATACTTTGGATTTATGTTTAGCCTCTAAAAAATTAGTCAACTGATGAAATGATAATTTTATTAAAAAGTTAGGCCCCTACGATTAAAAATATATATATTCTTTTTAATAACGTCATGTGTCTTCATGAAAGCAGCAGAACACAACTTAATAACATCATGAATTATTAATATAATTCCAAATCATTATACATGAGTTTAGAGTTGGACCCCCATAAATGAAGATTGCATCATCCGTTTACACGAATTTGATTATTTACTGTATAATCTAATATCAAAATTTTGAATATTTTGAAAAAGTAATCAATTACATTTTTTTTAAGAATAAATTGTAAATTAATTATTGGAAAGGCTTTGGAACAAAATTTTGTTCATGGGGAATCGGTTAAATCGTGGATTTTTAAAATATTCTTGAGAATTATTAATTATTTTGATATGATCAATTTACGTGACATAATAATCATTCTCTGCAGAAATTGGACTTTCAACAACCTACAAATTGATTAATTCCCGATTTCATTGATTCACAAATTTTCGTACTATCTTGGATGTACTGTACGACGCATCCATCATTTGATTTTAGGTGTTACTTGTATTTTTATTTTTTTTTGCTACTGCATATTTCGGATAAATAATATTAAAATTTGGATTAATAATTTGTTTTTCGTGTTTATATAAGTAATAAATTTTGGCTTATAAATTTCAAGCTGATCTTATGTTATAATTGGATAATGATTTTCAAACCGATCTTTTTTATATCAGTGGAAGAATTGTATGGTTATTGAAAGCGGAGTTAAAATATCGGTTCAATAATCCGTGGGTGCGTGTGCCAAATATAATATAATGTCGATCAGCATAAACATTACATAAAATTTCGCACGATCCTAAATGAGTGTAATAATAAATAGTTTTTATCATTACCATTGTAGGGTTATGCACATCACTTAAATATTTAAATTCCGACAATTAATAAAGTTTGAAAGTTTATGTGATTATTATAAATTAAGCTATATGTACGAATAAAAAAAAATCTCGGCAAAAAAAAATATGTGGCCCGATTTGATCAAAATTCAATTCGTATAACTTAATTCCTATGTTATCTTAATAAAGAATCATAAAGGAATACACTGTAGGTTATGATATAATGTCCGTTGAACGGAATTAGTAATCATAAATAATTATTATTATTTGTGATTACCAAGATGAAAAAAAAGCTTTGTCCTAAGAAAAATTCTTGGTATGACAAGCATACAAAAATGGAAATTTTATTATAATAAAATACTGTAGGGTGCATGCATAGTATTAAATTAAATTGCCTAACTAATTGTGGTATCGATCGGAAATTAAAAACGATTAAATGTTTTTTGGTAAATACATAAGAAAAACAAACTAAATATTTTTGACTAGCCGAAACATAAGCATGTCCATAATTGCAAAATCAAGCAGGATTGTCCATTTAAGGTATATCAAATTGATCAAGATCTGATTGTGAATCAGTTATAACAACTATCTGGGACCTTTGCAATAGAAAAAGATGGAAAAAATAAAAACTAAGTTAATACTGAGTCTGAACATATTTTGACCTAAAATCATATTTTGCATATAAAGTAAAAATTTGATTTTTTTCCGGCAGTTTCCCTTTTTCTATTGCAAAGGTCTCATATAACACTGGTGGATTTCATATGATTTTACTTTGGCTTGCCACACATTATGTGACAATTTTTATTCACATTTATATTTATAATTTATAATGCTCGAATGAACGGGTTAATTAGACCGAAAATTGAGTTCAACTTGGTTTGTGGATGACCTGTGGTTCCGACAATCTTTACCGTACGACTAATATCTAAATAAAGTATGATCATCATCAGGAGATTGATCTATCTCCTACGGAGATTTTATGGAAATGTATTTTCGCGTAAACTTTCAAGTTATATGTATTAAATGACAGTGATACATATAAAATTTATGTAACAAAAAAAATTTGCAGATTCCAATAATTTATTAATGGACGCTAACTTTTAAGACAATTTAACAAATATTTAATGAAATCTTGTTAATTGCAAAAAAATTGATTTTTCTGCTTTATTCACGTGATTTGTTTGATTCCATGTTATTATTAATAGAATTTTTTTCTTACTTTCTTTAACACCCACTTTCATGCTTTTTAATGCTATATATTTGCTTTTACAAAATTGAAAATTATGTAACAATGACTTCTATTACTACAAAATGAAGAAACACATAAACTTAATAAACCTCAGTTTCAAATGGATATGATAATGTCACGCATATAATAAATTATTATTTTTACTTTTAACTGTAGCCTTCTTTTTTAGTTATCTAGTTAAAAAATGACAAGGATTAAAAAGATAAATCTAATTCAGCACAAAAGAATCTTCAAAGGTAATTATTATTAGTACGGTTAGAATGTCATTTTCAACTATTATAAATTTGTAATTAAATAAACGTATTGTGATAAAAATGGTGAAGTAAATAAAATCGAATTCCGCCAGCTATATTATGCTAGGGAACGGTAACCGTTCTAGTCCGAAGCATAATTCCAGATAAGATTTATAATAAAAATCATATTTTATCAATTTTTATTGTTCATTTTTGTGAAACACGCGTGACAATTCTATTGGGTGATCAATATGCAGGACAGAACGACATTGCATTTGATATGCCTAGTATTTGATTGTCCCCCGCTATGCTTCGGACAATCATATTTAAGGTAAACAGTATATTGGTCAACTGGATGGTGGAACAATTTCTTATACATGGGCACGGCCGCCTTTCGCTTATTACGTTCGAGCTTTTGATTAGGGTGCAATATCTAAACCAAAGATTATTAAAAGATGAAACATGGCTACGTAATATTATCGTGAAATAACTTTTTTACTAGATCGATTGATTATATATTCAACCATTTACATTTATAAAAATAATAATTTAGTTTCTAATTATCTTTTACAATGTACTTTATTTCTTTTTTTAATTGATTATATCAATTTTGATACCTAATGGGAATAGTACAATTTCGTAATTGATTCATGTTACTTGATAATTTAATTTAAAGGAGATTGTCAAGATACCAAAATTACAAATCCCTTGAAAGAAGTTTCTTCTTCAAATTTAGAGTGATTATTTGAAACTTGATTTAAAGGGTACACGAAGAATCTTGTTCGAAGTAAGGTTCAGTTTTAAGCAATATTTATGTCGCAGAGTTCATAAAATCAGCAGAGACTGAAATTTGGTAGACATAACCTGAAATAAAATTTTTATTGTTAATAACTTAAAAGGACCCAATTATTTTCAATACCGAATGATAAGTAAGTAAAGAAAATTAACTTCATGGGATATTCCGAAAGTGTTCATCATAGCAATATTAGGAAATTTGAATGAGTAATAAAAAACAAAATTTTGAATCTATCATTTTAATGTGAAGAAAAAAACTAATATGTAGTTACACGAATTCGTGTAACGCAAATAAAAAGTGCAAAATATTTTTATTATTATAAAAATAAACTCCACCTAATTTCATTAAATCATAATTAAAAATAAATATTAACCACTACTGTAAGAGAGTATAGCAAATTCAAAACCATGAAAATGTTTCGTTGATAATCTTATTATAATTAATGCAAGTATGTCGTGGCTAAATAAGTTAATTTCATAATTAAGTAAACATAAATTAAGAAACACGTTTTATCTAAAATAGAATCCAGTTGTGACTATTATTACTCTTGCCATTGCTATAATATATTATTTAATTATTTTGATTAATACCGGCTGTCGAAGTAACATATGTTGCAATAATGCTATTTTGATGTTGCCAAAAGTATGTATCAAGTTTTAGCTTCAAACTTTGTTCGAGGCATAATTTTTGCCGTAAAGATAATGATTTACGTGATGATTCAAGCTTTATTTCATACAGATTTAATAAATGTTCGATCACATGATGTGACAAGTGTTTGCACCCAACTTGATAGTATACTGTGGGATCATTTGAACATTGATAAAAAAATTCGTGATCATAATCATATTCTTTGGTGACAACAGAATTTTCTTGAATGATCTTACAAGTTACGTAGTAAAAATTCATGTCTGGTGAATGATGATAAAAATTTAACTCAAAAACGTTCTTCTCGTAATATGTTGATTTGGTTATAAATCAAAAGGTTCGTTATTTTTTTTGACAAGAACAAAGGGGATACCAAAATAACTCATGCAGAATGTGGCCATTTTATAGAGAAACAAAATTGTTTATTTCTTACTTTAAAATTCCGGTATATACAGTATACCTAAACTTGACGCTTGTTGTCACACTATACTTATTCGAAAATATTTTGCCTGGAATTTAGAATTTTCTTTTTTTTCTGAGATCTTTCAAATTGATGTTGTTGTTTGAACTAATTCCATATACAGTAAATCTGTGGGATAAAATCGGCGATCTATAAATATAATTCTCAATTATCATTCGTAATTGAAGTTATTGACTTTTTCTGCTCTTCACTATTTATAGTTTTTGGCATACTATTTACATCAAAATTATTTATTTATTTATTTAATCATAAATTTCAACACAACTTTTTATAAAAAAAAAAAAAAAAAAAAGAATATACCGAAGATTCTCTATTGATTCTAACATTTGTAATCTCTATAATGCTGTTTCTTTACAACAATAATAAGTTACAACTGTACCACTTTTTTTTAAAAAAAAAAGAATAAAATTAATTTATTGTAAAATTTTGTTGGCGATTACTTAGAAAACAAAAGTAGTATACTATTATAATTATTATTACAGTAAACGTTTTAAAAAATAAGTGATGGATTATTCATTGTATGCATGGTAATAATAATAAGGGAAATCTTTGCAAATAAAGTAAATTTTATGGGCAAACACAATGTTATGCAGAAATCCACCATTGAATCTGACGTTTATCATAAATTGCTTGCATCTTAGAATTCTTGTTCAGAACAATAGACTAATCTAATAGAGAAGATATTTTAAATTTTCAACATCTGATTAAATATTAAACATATTTTAAATTATCTTGTGAAATGGTTTCACATTCTCCAGAATATTTGGATTTTTATAGCATACAAAACTTACCCACCCCATATCAATTAATAAACATTAAAAGCAGCCAAACTACTAATTTCGGAAATCATTTTTCTTTTCTAATACACTTGTATCTCCCCCATATATTTTAATACAAATTTAACTGATCACAACAAACATCAATAATTTTTGATATATGTCAAGTATAGCAGATCCTTCTTATTTAGACATGAAATGAAAGATTTGTCAGCCGATTCTTCAAAAAAAAGAAATTCTCCTTAGAATCAATCATTTTTAACCACAAAACCTTATCTGGTTTGGTTCCAACCAAGTTAATATATATGATTCAACACACTTTTGATGAATATGTATAACCCATAAAGGAGATAATGTAATCATAATTTGAACAGGCGTTACAATATTTTCTTAATATTCTAATAATCAATTGAATTATTGTAACAATATAATGATTTTGTTAAAGGTATGATTGAAATTGGAAAAGATTTTTGTTCTACTCGTTCTAAAAAAAAATTTTTTTTCGAGTCGCGTCATGACGCGTTTTTTTTTAAAATTTTTTTTTCGCGTACGCGATTGTTTTTTTCAAAAAAAAAATTTAAAAATTTCCTCGTGTCGCAATTTTGTTTTAAGAAAAAATATTGCACCACGTAATCGTGTCGAGAGGTTTTGTTTTAAAAAACCTACAAAATTACAAAATTGGAAAAAGTTATATAAACATTAAACTCATTAAAATCGAACTTCGTATACATAACAACTTTTTGAAATTCATATGCATAATAAATTAAAACTATGACTGTAAACCATACATTTAGGCTAAATTACTTTACAATTTTCGTCCATAATTTTAAATATATTTAATATAAATGAATATAAATAATTTCTTATATAATTGAATTTCCATTTCGTCCTATTTCAATTTATTAATTAAAAGTTATTGCTCCTACATGTATGGTAAATAGCATATAAAAATTGTTAGTTTCAAACGAATTGATACCTAAATAATCATTAAACATTGATTGATAAGGTAAGCATGTTCACCTTTTTATTCTCATTTCAGGACCTATAACCTCGTTAAATTCAAATTTTCAAAAATTTTGATAATAACCTAGACTTAATTTTACCATGAATTTTTGACTTATATCAAGGATTAGTACATTTGTAAATTAAGCAATAAATTAAATATTATAATTTTGAAGGAAAGCATCATTGATCAAAATCTCTTATATTTTATTTTAATAAATAATAGAAATAAATAAATGAATAGTATGAATAATATGAATTATTTGAAAGCATTAATCTTTATATACTACTAGGGTTGTGTTTCGTTATATTCCATAAAATAAGCTTGCAAAAACCTTTGAAAATCCACCATCCTATAAGCGTTGCATTGAAAAAAATTGAAATTTGTCAAATAAATTAATTGTATTTAAAAATTAAATATCGACAATTATTAAATTATACTTACTATTACTAGTTTGATATGCATCAGAAGAATCAAAATCAGACACATCTGATTCAATCGAGTTTTGTCTTTTATTGCAACTATTTATTAATTAGATGTTAGGTTTTTAAAAAATTAACCTCGTTAAATTCAAATTATCACTCAAAAACTAGTTGATACGCACCTATACCTATTTCTGCCAAGCATTGCTGACACATGCATAGACCTATTTCCGCCAATGATTGCTTCAACTTTAGACAAAAAC